GGGAACCTAAGTCTCCTTCCCCCTTCCCAAGAGCACACCTCGGAGACTCTCTAGTTGCAACCCAGGAAATTCACAGAAGCGCCCTGTGAACTGTCCTCTGAGATTAGCTGAGGGGGTCTAGAGATGAGGGTGATGTTGAACAGGGTATGCAGGAAACAACTGCATGCCTGGGAGAGGAGAGAAGGAGCCTGTCAGGCACAAGTGAGTAGACGATCGGGTCTCTCATTTGGCGTGACTTTTCACAGTGCCTGTTTGGACATCTTGCATTGCAGGGCACCAGTGGTTAGGATTGGTGGATCATTTAGGCAATACTCGGTGTCCCCCAGCTATTTGTTCCCATCACACCTATGCAGTTGGAGTTCAGCTTGTGGTGTACGTACCAGTTGTAGCATACCTGTCAAGTGTGTGTGTTAGAAATCGGTGCACAGGATTTGTTTTAATCAAGTCTGGCAAGATGAAGAAACAGAAATGATTATCGTGGAGGGAGAAGTCTGCATGCATAAATCCTGGGAAACACGCCAAGTGTGTGTCATGCAAGGCCACATAGGGGAGCCCTATACGGGGACCTCACATGAAGGGATGGGCAAGGTGATTTGGCGTGGTGAATGAGTTCAGGCTTGGATAGTTTGAAAGCTTCTGGGGAACTTTGGACTACAGGGGTCATCTCTAGTTGTCTGGTAGTGGCCCTGGGTGACTCAGGGTGGGGGAAATATTGGCTCTATCGGTAGGAATTTGGTAAAACAGCTTGTGAGTATATAAGCTGTGGACTGTTGGGTCTGCGTACCACAGGTGTGCTGACAGGGGGCCATTAGCTATATTCAGGGATTAGTACCCTGGGGAGGGGCAGTCCTTCCAGGTACAGGGCCTCAAATGTCAGAGCATCAAGGATATAGAAAATAGTCAACATAGCCTGTATAACAGATAGAAAAGCCCCTCAATATATTCATATTCTTGGTTGCTTCCAGTGTCATGCTGGCTATGTCCAGGGACCAGGGGTCAGCTCTGTATCCCAACCTGTTGTGGCGTGGGCACAGTTCATGACTGAGTGAGCAGAGAAACCCCACCACAGGGCTGTTAAGGCAAACTGCTACCTGGGCAGAGCCTGACTCCAGAGTCTCCTGCCTTCTCTTCAGGGCAGGCAAAACCTCTTTGTTCCCCGTTTCACCTGCCTTCTTGCTACGCCTGCATCTCCCAGGCTTCTTGCTGTGCTTATCCCCAGTCTGTCAGGAGGCAGTTGGGGTGACAGAAAGTCAATCCCCGTTTCTCTCTCACCTCTGCCCCTGGCAGTTACTGATCTGCGTCCTGTCTCTATGTAGTTACCTATTCTAGGTATTTCAAATAAATGGAATCATAAATATGGGACCTTTTGTTTCCGGCATTTTGCAATGAGCAAAATGTTTTCAAAGTTTACATATGTACCAGGTATTATAATTGCATTCCTTTTTGTGGTTGCACAGTATTCTATGGTATGGATAGACCATGTTTTAGTCATCAGTTCAGTTAATGGACATTTGACTTGCTCCCACTTTTAGGCTATTGTGAATGGTGTTGCTATGAAAATTTGTGTAGAAGTTTTTGTTTGAATACCTAACTTTAATTCCAACATGGCCTTGTTTTGTAAATAAATTTTTAGTGGAGCATTAGACACTGTCTATAATGGAATTTACTAGAGACTTGCAATTTGCAGAACAGTTTTCCAACTCCTGCATGAATCACTATTCTAAGCTGCAGAGACCAAGGGGATAAGGTAAAGCACCTCTTGAGATTATTAAAAACCTGCTCCACCCTCCCTTGCTACATGTGTGACACCAAGTTTGCCCTAAGTCTAACACTAAGATGTGAGCCACCTGTGACCAGCTGCAAGGTCTGAGGGTTGCCTGGGAGGGCAGCTTGCGAATGCTATTCAGAAACAAGGACCTCATTTTACATCACTGTCCTCTCCCTCCAACTCTCAGCATAGTTACCCACAGTGGGAAGTGGGACTGGGAGCCTCAGAATCCATGGTCTCAGAACCAATACTAATAATCTGTCCAAGCACCACCCAGCAGCTACAGTGACCTCAAATGGATTTGGTGAAAGTAGCTCTGATGGCAAGATTCCAGTCTTATTTTAACTGACTAAAGACAATCTTGGTGTCAAATTCTGAAGCTTTAAATCTCAGTTGTATCAGCAGCCTCCACCCCAGTGTGAAAAGCCCAGTGCCACTCAGGGTGGAAACTTTTAGGGTGTGATTGCCACAGGGGAAAACGTGCACCTGTCCCTTGTGCTGTGTGCCAGATGATGTGATTAACATGTGTACACTCCACAAAGCCTTGGCAGCATGTGAGCACATAAGATAGAGTTTTTGCTTGTCTTAAAGTTTTTATTTCACATTTATTTCTTTAATAAATGTTATGCTTTAGAAGAGTGTAAATTTTACAGAGAAGTTACAGGAATATCACAATGTTCCTGTGAACCCCACAACACCTATTACTGATCATTCTTATTATTAATATCTTATTTAATACAAGATAATATATAGGGAGTCTTTATTATTTCTCTAGTGTGAAACATAAATGAACTTGGTTTTTAATTGAGAAAGGTTGGGTGAAATACACTCATACCATAGCTTTCTAGGGAAATTTTTTACTTTAGCATTAATGGAAACTACTTGTGCATAACAGTAGCCCCATGATCTTTGTGTTTGTCCATTTGGTAGACAGATGGCAAGGTGTATGCAATGTGTCAAAGTATCAACTGGTGAGTTTTAACCCACTTCACCCTCTGTTACATTTTTGCACATTTATAATTTGTTTTATTAAATGTTTTATATCTATTTTTCTTGTAGAATCTCCTACAACTTTGGGAGGAGATTGGAAGTGAGTCATCAGGTGCCTTGGCTACCAGTGATGACATGGATCATGTAAGCCAAAGAGTTTGTGACAGTGAAATGGAGCAAGAAATGACAGGTAGAGAATAAAGACCTTGATTCAGAGGAGGGAGAAATCAGTAATGTAAATAAATATTTGACTAGTTGAAGTGCTATGGAATTTTCATTCAACATTAAACTAGGTGAGAAAAATGTTACTAGGTTCTTTCTAGAGGTGAGCTCTATTGGATAGAATGCCAACATTGTGATTCAGTGTTGGAAATTGTAATGGATGGTATGCTGAAAGATGTTGTGAAATACACTACTAATAAAATACAAGTGAAATATTCTATATGCACCAATAGTAATACTCACAAATATATTTATCATGACACCTTACTACCTGAACTAAAAGCCTTCATACGTCTGTTATATATAGTAGGACTTTATCACTCTAATCATCAGACTCTAAAGGAGAAGTGACAGATGTGGCATTAAGATTTTCAGGACAACAACCCTCAAGATATTTGGTCTCCTTTAAAATTACATACATTCTGATGACAAAAAGACCTGCAAAAAAAGAAAAAAGTCTGACATTTTGGATGCCGTGCACTCATTTTTTGAAAGCTTTGTTTCAAACTGTCAAGCAATTTATACACTGTTCAAATATATGATAGTTGATGGACAACTTTTGCTGCAGTAAGCCACTGCGGGCAGTGTAGAGGTTGAAAAAGATTACTTGGAGAAGAGACATGGTTCAATCTACCAAGAGGACCAGAGGGGTGATTTCTCAGCCAAGAGCACTCAGCCATCATGGAGACTCTGGGAGAAGAAAAAGCCACCAACCTGAGAACTCCCTGGCTTTTATTTAGAATATCAGTGTAAGAGAAAAAAGTAGGAGAGAAAGTAGTTTGGGCCAGAAGCTACCTCAAGGTTAAGCAGTTTTTCTTGGGGAAATGGGAAGGACAACAGCCAGATATGGCATGCTTAATTTGAACTTGTAGCTGTTTATTTGATTTTCACACAGCCTGTGTGCTTTTACCCCATAGTTTAGCCATTCATTTCCCACAGAGCCTGCATCCTCTTTCCCCTGAAGTTTCATTATTTATTCTCACAAAGCCTGCATGCTTTTTGCCCAAAATTTAATTATTTGTGTGTTTTTGCTCTGCATCTTAACCATTCGCTTCTCATAGAACCTCTGTGGCTTTGTCCCACAGTTTAATCATTCACTCCTGGCCACATCTCCCACAGATTTGTATCATTCCATGATCACTGTAGGTTTATGTAATAATATATGCCAAATAAACCTTCCAAATACAGTTGAAAAATATGCCCCAGTAGACATGTTTGAATTTTGTGATTCTCTACACTTGTGGGTCAGAGTTTAAGCTAATGAAAACCTGTAAGGGAGAGGATTTTTGATAGGTTCTGTAATTCCTTTTTTCAGAGGAAAAGTCACTATAAAAGACAAAAAACATTGAGAACATTTCCCCTGGCACAGGATGTGACCTAGTGTGATGCTGACAATGTCCGGGTGTCTTGGGTTCTCAGGGGCAGGACTCATGATAATCCTGCCTGTGCTAGCAGTTTGCTAAAAGGTCATTGGGAAAGGACCTGTCAATGAGCCCGTTAGGAGCTCAGGCTGCTAAGAAGGGTGTGTGAGGTGTCTGTATGAGGTCTCTGTGCCTGGTTTCTGGGAAAACCCCATGTGAGGTCTCTGTTCAGACTCCTTGTAGCTCTGCGGAATCTCCTGGAAAGCTTGTATGTGAGCTCTACAAGGTCTGCAAGGTCAAAAAGTCTGTATGGGACAGGCACAGCTCTGTATGGCCTCCCTATGAGGTGGCTGGGGGAGGTCTGTGTGGGAGGTCACTCTCTGTCAGGCCTCTGTGGGAAGTCCTTGTGTGAAAACTCTCTGGTAGGTTCAGTGTCAGGGCCTGTAAGCAAAAAGGTTATCCTTGGGAGGTCTCTGTGCCAGGACTTTGTGGAAGGTCTGGGTAGGAGTCTCTGCATGGTCTCACTTGGGGCAGCTCTTTGGCAATCTCTGTGCAAGGTCTTTGAGGGGCAACATGAGGACTCAGAGCTGTGGGAGGGTCCTGTGGGGACTCTATGGAGGATTCAGTGTATAAAACGTGTGTGGGGTAGTGAGAGGCCTCTATGTGCTGTCTCTGTAGGAGATCTCCCTGGGAGGTCCTTTGTGAGGTCTCTGGATGTCTTCACTGCTGGCTTTACTGCACCTTAAGGAGATGGAGCCATTGAATAGTGTTTTCCCAGACCTTCTGCTTAGCCAGCTATGGCACCTTTCCTGGCAGGAGCAGTGGGGTCCGTGTCCAGCTCCTCCGCATTCCAGAACATGCCTCATGGTGTCCTGAGAACAGATGATGGACACTAAGATGTGCTCCTCCCAGTGTTTTCCCAGACAGTCTGCTTAGCCAGCTATGGCACCTTTCCTGGCAGGGGCAGTGGGGTCCGTGTCCAGCTCCTCCGCATTCCAGAACATGCCTCATGGTGTCCTGAGAACAGAGCAGCAGCCAGGCATAGCCCCTCCTGAGATCAGGGTCCCCACTGTGTGCCACCTTCTTCTTAGTGCCCAAGGGACAGAGCCACTCCCTACTCCTGGGCTTAGTCCCTGCAGATCCTGGCTCCTCTCTTATAGCTGGGCCCACTCTGAAGGCTGATGAAAGAATCCTGGTCCCTGAGACAGGATCTGGCTGCAGGGAAGCTGAAGACACTCGCAACAAGTCTGGAAGTGCCAGTCCCGTCCCACATGTACGGGGCAGGGTCCTTTCCCCTTAGGAAGCTATTTCCCTCTTAGGAAGAAAAACATATGCATTGGACAATAGTAATTATCATGGATGGGTTACAAGAGAAAATAATTTTTCTGTTAATGAATGTAATTTTTTCTTGGAGACAACTTTTCCTACAGGGAAAAACTAGAGAGAAATTTTCTGCCTGAGAAAACAGGACACCTTTCTAAAGTAGTCAGTGTCCAGGGCAGTGGTGACCATGGCCTGAGGCCCTGGGGTACTGTTGGCCCAGACTGTGACGGGCTGACAAGGAACACAGACTGGCTGAGGGTCATGGGGTTGGGATGCTTCTGGCGCCATTGCTCACTGTTGAGCTGTCCAGTTTTCAGGGACTCTTGGTCACGGGGGTGCCTCTCCCTGGCAGGACAGCTGTGGCACTCGGGGCTGGCTGCATGTCCTGGCTTTCTCCTGTGCTCTGAGCAGCAGGAAGCCTGGGAGATTGGAGCTTGACCTTCTTCTTCTTCTTCGCGCTGATTTAGTTTCACGGCGCAGAGTTCATGCTGAAGCATCACTTTGGCTTCTAGCATGTGCCCAACTGCTCTCACGAGCAGCTCAGCCTATCAGTGTCGTGGTCCACATGAGGTCTGTTTTTGGTCAGTCTCTGGCTCTGGACAGTGGCAGGTACAGGCTTGCCTATTTTATGGGTGTCTTCCTGCCTTTTGATTTCTTTACTGGGTAAAACCCACTGCAGAAATTTCTTCATGCTTCTTTGGAAGTAGCTTTCTGAGGGGCCTGGTTTATTTTGTGGGAGAAGCTAAAGGTGTTCACTCTCTGTGGTGTGTCTTACACCATCCTGAGTGGGCTCAGAGGTCCCCACGGCTCCCAACCTGTCCTCATGTTTTCCTGAGCTGGGCCTCCTACCAACCTCATGACTGGCAGCAGGGATAAGGGTCTTACTTTGGCTCTTTGGTGAGTACTGATGTTTCGGGGAAACTGAGCTTCTGCTGACCCAGGGGCCTCTCTCTTGTCTGCCCTTAGGGCTCCTGACATCTATGACGCCAGCATGCACCCTAGAGGCATGCTGTGGAGATGGTACCGGGATGCCACAGAAGACAAATTGTGTGCAGCTTGGAGCAAATCAGTGTGAGAGTCTGTAAGGTGCACATCCCGGACAGAGATTTGAGACTGGTTTACTGACTTTACCTCCACTCTGCTGAGACTTACTCCTGATGTCTGCCCGAAGACCTGGCTCTCCTCCATCTTGGACAACACATGTTCCAGGCACCACAGGGACTTCTAGGCCGCCTCTGCTGGCACCCAGGATGGTTCTGCTCTCACAGGTGCTGGTGAGACAGGATGTGAGTTTCTGGGAAGCCCACCTGCTGCCCTCTCCAGCTTCAGGGAGCTTTAAGGTTCCCTGGGCCTCACCATGTGGGATCCCTGTCAGGGCCCTCTCAGTCTCCTTACTCACAGGTGTGGAGACAAATCTGCCCAGTGTGGGGACAGACTGTTACTTCCTCTCTCATACGTGCCTGAGGTGGTTTTCCCAGGAACTTGGCATCCTCACTGGCGGAGTCACCACAAGACCTATGGCTGAGAAGGGACAGGAATACTGTGGAAGGAACAAAAGTGGATCCTTTTTCACCTTGAAGAGTTTTATGGCCCTAAGCATCTTGAGGGGGAGGGCCCACTTGTGCCTCACCCAAAGCCTTGTTATATGCGCCTCCAGGGTCTTCAGAGTACGTGAGTTGAGGGAGGGAAGCTTCTGACACAGGCTTTCTGGCTCCTGGAGAGTGCTAGGAAAAGCACTATTGACAGTGAGCCAGGACCAGTGCACTCTTAGAGGGATCAGCCCCTCATAGATCTGCCAGGTTTCTTTCAGACTCTGCAAAGGTTGTCTCCAGAACCTTCACCAAGGAACTTTTCCAAGGCTCTGGTGAGATATCTGGGGACCTCCTTCCTGGTTCCTCTATCTGGAACTTCACCTCCTGCACACCTTGCTGCAACCATCACTAGACATGGAGGAGCAGCATGAGGGGTCAAGTTTGTTCTTTGCCTGACATGTATGAGCTAAGTCACCCTGGCCCATGTGAGTTCTAGAGACTCTTGGATCCTGCAGAGCAGGTCCTGCTGATGTTGAATGAGAGATTTTTGAATGTGTTCCTGTAGTTGTTTCCAGAGCTCTGTGCTGATTGAAAAACCCTCAGGAAGGATGGCAGGGACCCGGTGGTCTTGGCATAAAGGTTGGGAGTGAAAGGACTGTAGGTCTTCTGAGAGCATTGAGCACTGAGGGCACAGCCCACCCACTCTCAGGCTGGGTTCTCAACCAGGGCCTCCCAGTATGTTGAATTTCAGTGGGGATGAGATGTCCTGGATTATTATGGGGTGTTGGGCAAGATGCTCCATAGTCTCTGATGTGGGGTAGAGAATGCGGTAGGAGGGTTGGGGATTGGAGATGGGGCTGAGTCTTGATCTGAGCCAGAGGTGAGGGCTGGAATTGGGTGGTGATCAGAATCAAGGGTGGGGAGTGGGGCTCCAGACAGGATGGAACCTGGGCCTGGGAAAGCAGTGAGGACATTTTTTCCTGCACCTGAACTGGGTAAACATTTGTGATTTCATTGAATAAGAAAGCAGGAAGGTGTGGGCCACAAGGGTTCTGAAAGATCCAGGCAGCAGCCACCACGGACTCACTGTGCAGAGAGGGCAGACCCCAGGAAAGCTGGATCCATTTCTGCTGGACGTGGACACCCAGGATCTGGGGATTTGAGAGTTGCTGAGGGCCGAGCTGCTGCTCTGGCTTCTCTTTTGTGTCCCACCAGGGTGCTGGGGCTGTTGCAGGATCAGGGGGATGGGCTGGGGGAAGGGAAAGGGCAAGTGGCAGGGGTGAAAGTCTTTCCAGGGGAAGAAGCAGGGGCTCTGGGGTCTGAGAGCCGGTGAGGGATGTGGGTGAGCACACAGAAGCACAGGAGGCTGCAGGCGGGCCTGGCGATGGAGAGGAGGCCCGAGGTGGAAGGTGCTGAGTGAGAGCAGAGGGGGAGGATCAGGGGGATGGGCTGGGGGAAGGGAAAGGGCAAGTGGCAGGGGTGAAAGTCTTTCCAGGGGAAGAAGCAGGGGCTCTGGGGTCTGAGAGCCGGTGAGGGATGTGGGTGAGCACACAGAAGCACAGGAGGCTGCAGGCGGGCCTGGCGATGGAGAGGAGGCCCGAGGTGGAAGGTGCTGAGTGAGAGCAGAGGGGGCAGCCTCTGCCAGGGACAGAGCAGAGGGGTCTGCGTTCTCCCCATATGGCTGCGGGGCTGTGACAGGTGCTCTTGTGCGCGCATCAGCAGGGTGGTGTTGGTATACGGGCTGTTGAGAGCTTTCTGGGTCAGGGAGCAGCCTCTCCAAGCTGAAACAATAGGAGGCACAGCTGCAGCCAGGGGCTGGGTGAGCTCAGGTGGGCCATGGCTCTTCCACTGCCCCATACCCTGAACTTTATAGTTTTATTGCTACTCCTCTCCCCAGGGTCTTAACATGCCCCACTCCCAGGATCTCCCCCTCCCAGGTTAGACCAACGCTGCTTTGTGACATCACAAGCCTTGGTGGGAAGGAGAAAGAGGAAAGTTCTTTACCTTTTCAGAAGGGAAGTTAAGGTTTTATCGAACCTCCAAGAAATCTGGCAGTCTGCAAAATGTGGGAAGTGGGAAACTGGGTTATAAAGGATGAGCGGTATACAGGGGGTTGGGATTTTACAGGTTGCTGAAGGGAATGTCCCCTTAGAGGACACCATAGGAGGTCAGGCCCCAGAGCCCAAGCATCAGCGTCCAGTGTCCTCTGGCCCCGGCTGACAGTGGTTTCATGGTACACAGATGGGCAGCGCTTTGTCAGTACAAATTGCTTCCACACCCTTCCAAACCCATGGTCCTCACACCTGTGTGTGCTGGACCAATGGGGTCATCCCACAAAGGAGTCAGCCTCAGCCAGTTGTAACAGTTGGGCCTCAGTTGGACCTGGAGGTCCCACCTCCAAATCCAGGCTGCTGCTCCTCTGCTGCCTGCACTGCCCCCTACTGGACAAAACCCTTCTTTGTCCCAGCGCAGCTTCGTTCTGAGCAGGGATCCTGAGAAGCATCCACTCTGCTCATTGCAGTTCCAGGAGCCCCTCTCTGCAGCTGCCATCCTCGGAGCCCTGGCATTGGTCCTCAGGGATGAGCCCGTGTCACTTCTGGGACTGAAAGACTGAAAGGCAGAGCTCACCTCTGAGAGCGCCTGTCCTCTTCCTTCTCCTGTTCTTCCAGCTCATCAGCCCAGGACGCTGAGAAAGAAGGGAAATAGTCAGAGGCCCAGGCCCGGATTCCCCCCTCTCTCAGACAGCCTCCAGACCATCAGTATTTCTGAATATCATAATAGTTGGCATTGAATTAATAGAGCCTGTGTTCTTTTTCCTTTTACTTAATTTTTAAATGGAAGTAAAAAGTTTTTATTGTCGTTTTCCCAGAAACACACAGAATGCTTCGTGTGTGAGCTCTAACATGAGTGTCTTCACTCTTCTTCTCAGGAAACTTGGACTCAATTCTAGAGCAGCTTCTCAGCTTCCAGACAATCTTCAACTTGTGACAGGAGGCTTGAGCTCAAAGCTCGCAGATCAGCCAGCACAGAGCGAAGACTGGGTCCAGAGGCGCCTGCTGTGAGATAGTGATGATGAACCAGTGCTCAGGGCCTGGCCCTCCCCACAGATCCCCGCCTCTCAGGAGTCCAGTCCTCATCCACAGAGTTGCCGTGTTCTCCTTTACTCTGGCCAGAAAGCCACACATGTGGTCTTGGAGCATCAGAGAGAAGTCCTGCTGCTTCTTTCTTTCTGCCCTGCCCCTCCTGTCCCAGAGGAAGGATGCTCTATTCTTTCTTGAGATTTTCCCTCTTAGCAGTCCCTCTTTTTTACTTGGAAAGGTAGAAACTGTGGTAAAAGCAGAGTCCAGTCCATCCACAGAGTTGCCGTGTTCTCCTTTACTCTGGCCAGAAAACCACACGTGGTCTTGGAGCATCAGAGAGAAGTCCTGCTGCTTCTTTCTTTCTGCCCTGCCCCTCCTGTCCCAGAGGAAGGATGCTCTATTTTTTCTTGAGATTTTCCCTCTTAGCAGTCCCTCTTTTTTACTTGGAAAGGTAGAAACTGTGGTAAAAGCAGAGAGATTCACTGTCTGCTGGGCCTGGGCTGAGAGTGTCTTACCTTTCTGATGTTTCTGTTTCTCCTGGATGGCGGTAAGGATGGTTCACCCTCGAGCCAGGGCAGTAAGAGAAGGAAGAGCCCCAGTCCACACAGAAAGGCGAGGATCATATCCACCGCGAAGGTAGTGGCGCTGGGGCTCAGCCATGTGGCACTAAGGCTTTTCAGAGGAATGAGAAGATTCTCCATCATCTGAATCGCAGTGTTGCTCTCAGGCAGCTGAGCCCTGAGAGTTCTCTCTGGGGTAGGGAGGAGGGCCCAGGCCTGCATCACAGAGCTGTGTTCTCCCCATCACAAAGGGCACCTGGTGTGAGGGAGGGGCAAGGAGCAGAGGCTCAGGCACAGGCGGCCCCGCCCCCAATCTCAGGGACAG